CGTTCTTTTCAAGAACCAAGTATGAGTTAGCGGATCGCAATCCGCTTACTCCAAGAGTAATTATTGTCTTCCCAAGACTAATCGACTTTTCGTTTTGAAATCCAAAACTGATTTCTATTTATTTTTTTATTCTAATTTTAAAAGTTTCGATTTTCCTAAATATACTATATATAGTAGAATCTAAATACATGCATAAATACTGGCTACCTAGCCACATACCGTATTCTTGTTTGGGTGCAGTCACACCATGCACGTCTCGTGTGACAAACACCCCTGTTACCAGGGTACGTGTAACCCCGTTACGCGCTCGCTGCGCCGTGGTGGGGCCTCCAGACATCTATGTATTGGGGCCTTCAGCTCAATCAGAGAACGTTTCGCGCTCGGATGTCATTTCGAAGAAGAGCTCTCTGACCCACAGGGTACCGCGAGCGCTCGCGAGTACCGCTTCAGGCTGGATCAGCAGTGGCTGGAAATCTCTTTGTCCTCATAGGGGACACCTAATGCATCATGGTATGGCAAAAGAGCATGTAACGCATTCCTCTAATTTATCGCTCTGCGGTTGGTCCGTTTTGGGTATGAAGTTAATTTTTCTAAGCAACTCTTAACAAAATTTAATAAAGCAGCGAATTTCAATATGCGGTGTTTGTTAGCGGAAATATATGTTGCGCGAAACTTTATCGTGAAACAATTTGACCGTATTGTGGTGTTTCTGTCATCACGTTTATCACTAGTCTAACACAAAACAAATAGAATATGCTAGGTTCTGATCAAAAGATGTCCGTTCCATGTATTCCGTGCTCTCCAAGTGTTCTCAAAAGTATATTTATCCGTCGCGAATGACAAGCTCGCCGTCTCTTTCAACAGAGCAAATAGCTCCTAAGAAATATAGGCAGGATGCGTTGGCTTCACTGCTACGTAATATTATCGACAATGCACCTTCGCACATGTCAATCGTCCTCCTCTCTGCTCGGTCGTAATTAGCGGTATCCTTTCATTTGTAGAACGCAAATAAGTTGTAACTGATATACGATGAGATTGTAGTCCTGAAATTTTATAGCATGCATCCCTATAGGATTGCTATCCAAGCTCGCTATTTAGCCTGCGCTTGAACTATTCCGGTCACTCAATTCAAATTGAGTGTCATTTTGCCCAAAGAGCTTTTCTACACCGCACAGTCCAAGATTCGCACGGTGGTACCGACTCAGCTGCACATCACATCGTGTAAGGATGGCCAGTCTTTCGTAAGATGATACCTTTTCTATTCTACTCGCGACTTACAATCGCATGCCTTCGTATAAATTTTCATTGGAGACTGCGATACACAGTCGATCTTCTCCATCCCATTAGATGTGGTACTTGTGGTCCGTGGCTCGAACTTGAGAATGTCTGCATCAAAGAAGTGAGTCCCACGGTCGTAACTTACGGTCGCTGTTGATACACTAGGAGACCGAGATATACTGTCACGAAACTCTACCTGGAGACTGCAATTTATAGCCACTTCTGGCCTCCATGCTTTCTCCAGGGCTTATAGCAGTATCACTGCTCATTATTTTAAAGTTCAGATCTAATGCGCAAGCCACTTCAAACGCATCCGCACTCTTGCAGAGTTGCGTGCATGACTCACCAAAAGAGAAATATTTTGAAGCACCTGCCTTATTCAATGTCTTGCTGATCAATGGCTTAATTCATTCCAGTAACGCCATACTGAAAAGGATCGTATTGCAGATTCTGGGCGATACAGCGTTCCGCGCTGTAAAGGTCCTCAAACTATATATCCATTTTCAAAATAGCCTTTGAAACTTCAGTCAGTTTCCCAAATGTAAGAGGCAATGGATATTGTATCCGAATTTAGCACCAAAATTGCCGCCGCGCACTGTCTGGTGCTTCTAAGTGGTAGAAATCGAGCGTAATATTCACGATACTTAGAAATTCATCAATCCTTTTTGCGGCTTCACAAAAACCAAGACATTTATGTCAACAGTCAACGACCCTGGACTATTTGCCTCACCTCATCTAAAGAGATACCGCTTTTTTCAAAGGCAACCTTGGCCTTCAGGAGGAATATCTGAACTCAGTCTTTGCAGTCGGCAGCACTGCGCCCACTAAGAGCTATTCACTCGTAGATAAAGTGACCAGAATGGTCTTATGGATTATAAGCCTCTCTTCAATACCCTCACAGAAGCTTTTACTGAGCTCAAATTATTCCTATGGAAATTTGCACGATGGTTTTGTCATTATAAAAATCAGACTGGTATCAGAAGAGGGGCTCGATCAGTATATATGTAATGGAAGAGTACCCTTGAGGGTATCCGGCCTTCTGTTCCTCCGCCGGCAGTTGGTCAGGGTGGTTCTTAACGTGCCTCGCTAACGCATCCTTAAAATATGACCCCGCCTCTAGGCGGTCAAATAACGTTTCAAAACCTTCTGGTCACCAATTGTTCCATCGAGATCCAAGATGGAAAAAAGCTTTTTACACTAGTCTGTTTGTCTCGGGAACCATTATTTATACACTTAGTGTTCCATCCTCGCAGAGGATGCAGTATTAACTCGACTTAGTCGTGGGGTTCTACAAGTGCTACGGAGTGCAACGGGGTTGTCGCGCATGTTGCACGGAGAAAGCTTTGACTCCCAGAGTCCACGGTAACGCACAGCGGTTGGGTTTATGCGCTCCGACCAGATGCGGATCGAGAGCCTCAGGTAATCAACATCGTCTGTTTGCAATGATATATTACAGAATCTGCCCCGTTATTTGGCAGCTCATTTAAGCATAGCTGCTTAATCAGGCGGTAACTGAGGTACTAAGAATAAAAGCTGTAGGATGTAGCAAAGCCGCAGCAACCGCAGCCACACAGCACTTAGGGGTGCATTGTGGGAATTACTGTTCGATAGCAGCAAATAACCGCGACACCACATTTGTAACGTTTTAGCTGACGCGGCTTTGCATCTTTACATCGTTGCCTCACGAACCTCGTTGAACAGACTCCAATCTGTGTGAATGTGTTATCGTGCTACCTAAGCTGCTCGTTAATGAACGCACAGGGGACTACTTTTTCCTGTACGCGGAACCAAAGTAAGTTGTATAACACTGCCTCAATTTATAAAGCAGTATTTTTAAATTTGAAGGTAGGAGGAGCTTTCACGCGCTCTGTAGTGTCACTAATGACATTATATCGTTAGAACGCGTTACTCGCCAAGTAGAATGTTGTGTTCGCAAATTCTTGTCTTTTGTATCTGCTTGTCATTACTTGGTGCACAATATTCTGTTGATTACAGAAGCTTAAACGATTTGATGATTTTCAACTGGATAAAACACTCTTAAATGGTAATCACTCAAGTCAAATGACTTTAAAGCGTGTTGACCCACTCAGTGGCTGCAGCAGCTCAGCAACAATTTACGAGGTTTGATGATTTCTTATCGTGATTCTACGTAATACAACGTAGCTCATGATCGAGTAGGATATCAATGGTGTTTTGTGGACTTTCATGCTTAATTACACAAACATCTCATTCGGGACGTACGGGTAAGATGTGGTGAGCAATTAATATTGAAAGGCAGTGTGATAATGATGTCAAAGTTTAGCAACAACAAGTTTTATATGATGCAATTGATTCAAGAGGATGGACAATACATGGTTTTTCGAAAGTGGGGTCGTGTTGGAGCCAAAACTCCGCAGGTGCGTCATGCAAACTGTCGCTGTGTCGTTTTCTATTTATGCTATCAAAATGAGTCATGATTGATAAATAGCGGGCACTAGAGCGCTATAAAACATCTTTGGCAAAAGCACAGGATTCTTTTACAAAGAAATTTCTGCTTAAGAGTGGGAACGAGTGGCCGCTTTCTGGACCATTCAAAAAGGTAGAGGGAAAATACGTACTCGTTGGTGAGTATTTGAAGGAGTTCGTGGCTGAATGACGCTTTTCTTCAATATTAATCTCATTTTACTTATACAGAACTTGACAATCAAGAGTTGGAGGAAGACGAACAGCTATGTGAGGCTGAAAAGGAAGACGAGGTGGCATCGACTTTGCATGAAACCATCCAAGACGTTTTGAAGGTTTGTTTTATTTTTGCTTTCAACACTAATAAGATTATGGATTATAAGCTAACGAATGCTCTCAGCTCATATGTGATGCTGACTTGATCACACAAGAAATGGCGAATATGAATCTAGATTTAAAGCGTCTACCATTAGGTTGATCTTTTTAAAGATGTGATTACTGATTACGTTGTGTTTCACGCTTAATTTGGATTGCATGATCAGGGAAGCTGTCAAAAACACAGATATCGCAAGGTTATGCGTTGCTACAACAACTCTCCCAGGCACTCAATGAGATTGAAGAGCTCAACAAAATTAATACTGAAACGAAGCCTTCTGCTCGACGGTCTCGCGCTCGCCATTCTTCTCGGTTAGAAAAATTAGCAAATCAAAGCACAAGTCAGCTCCGCCGCCTGAAAAACAGTTTGAGAATAGCTTGTCAAGTGACTTCTATACACTAATTCCTCACAACTTTGGCCGAAATTTGCCGCCCATGATCGATTCACTGGATGAAGTAAAGCTGAAAATCGATTTACTAGAAGTGCTGGCAAATCTCGAGATTTCGCAGAAGTTGCAAATTGAATTGAAGACGAATGCAAGGAAAAATGCTGATGTCAGGCTAAACTCACTAGATGTTCAGTATAACATGCTCAATGTCGAAATGGTACCACTTTTGAAATCGACCGAGGAATACAAGATCATCGAAAAGTAAGAGCATGATGAAAGTGATTCGTTCGTAATCGTTAATAAGTTTCATTACAGATATGTCAAGACCACGCATGCTCCGACTCACGTGCAGTATAAGCTGCAGATTAAATCAATTCTTGAAATATCGCGCGCCGAAGAAGATAAATTTAAGGACGTATTCCAGTCTATTACCAACCACAAGGTATAATATCTGCTTCATAACATCAATGTGACGTTCTAAAAAGGCTATTGTTGAATTTGTGCAGTTACTATGGCACGGATCTCGTCTCTCGAACGTCATGGGTATTTTGTCAAAAGGACTTCGAGTGGCTCCAGCAGAGGCACCGAACAATGGGTACATGTTTGGCAAAGGGGTGTGTCAATTCTTTCAGAAATTGTTATGCTACTAGGTGCTGATCAGGACCCGTCGGTGCTTTTGTTAGATCTACTTTGCCGATTCAGTTTCCAAATCCGCAAATTATTGCTGGACGACGCCTGAAAATCCACAGGTTTGTCAGTGAGATCGATGATCAGGCTGGTTATCTCACAAAACTCGCGTGTATACGGAGCACAGGGCGTGTTGATTTTAGCAGAGGTGGCCTTGGGTGTACTCTACAAAGCTCAAAAAGCAGAGGATCTAACGTACACAGCCTTGAAGAAAAACAAACGATGTGATAGCACGCATGGAGTTGGACGTATGGTCGCATCTGAAGAAGACCACGTGACCATGTACGACCTGAAGTAATGTTGTGTTTGTCAATTGATGTAGTGCCTCATTGATCGAATTCTATCATAGGGCCGACGGCGTAGTTGTACCCACAGGCAAATTACTACCATCGAACAGCTGTGGCCCGCTGCTCTACAATGAGTTTATTGTGTACCGAAAAGAGCAAGTTAAGCTGAGATATCTCGTGAACCTTGACTTTCTTTATGGAGAAGCGAATGAGGCCATCTGAATACTAGCAGGTTTAGTTTGTTTCAATAAATAAATGGGTCCTTTTGTTTTATTCTTTAAGTGCGTGGCCCTTCGATCCAAAATTCGTACGCGGCCTTGATACTCCAACTTCGCGCTGAGGTCATAGGCTCTCACAGTAAAATCTTGCGACTAAAAGGTCATGACATCTTTTGCGTAGCCAAAAATTGATTTTATCTCCAAAGCTGTGCTATAGCTCCTCATGACATTGTGCAAGGGGAAAGCTGAAGAGTGCAATGATCTTGTCTACTAGCTCCAGAAAGTATTGGTCTACTTGTTTCTCGCCTTATCAAAATAGTGTCTCAAAACAGCGGGAAGCCAGAAATTACGATTTGTCATCAGGTGTATGGATCAGACTGAGTTAGGAGTTGCATACGTACTGAAATGCGCGAAGCTCATTATCAAACGAATGTTGGAGACGAGTGAATATGGCCTTTCTTCTTTATTGTGGTAAACTTCTTCTCAGTCAACAAAGATAGGATTGATAGAGCTTGAAGGCTTTACCTGTGTTTGTATTTATGTGTAAACAACTTATTTCGAGCGTCATCGTACACATAGCTTGTCAGATCAGATGATAGCTGCCAATGCTTCAGCACTTCGTTTGAATTATTGACAACTTTTCTTGATCGCAAAACCATTAGTCTGAAAAAAGCGATTGCTGCAATTTTTGCCATATGAATGGAGATCTGTGCATGTTTCGATGAAAGCTCCAGTTTGGCTCACACGGATGGTGATCGAGCAAAAAACGGTTCAAAAAACATTCTAATGATAATCCATTCTAAGGTCGCATTTTCAGAGCTGGTGATAAACGTATCCGACCTCTAGATCACCAATCGCGCTTCATTTTCGAAGGCAACTATAGACAGAAGCTTGTCAACCAAATCTTTTTGATTGTAGAATATATAAGTGAGCACATTGTGTTCCGTCCAACAGTTTTACACGTTAGCTCACTCACGAAAGAAGATTACCCCCCTCAAGATAAAGCATTTCTTTTGGTTTATATTTCAAGCATCACAATCATGTCTAACAAAACAAATATTCCGCTTTATCATCTAACGTTAGGGGATGCATACCGTGAGGCTAGCATCCTTTGTGTCTTCCCTACAGAGTCTAGTTTTCGTTATATGTATCAGTATCGTTCATGATGTTACCATACCTGACCGTGGCTCTAGGTTAACGTATACGTACTCGATTACAATGTCAATTAAGACACGTCGCGATACTGCAGTAGAAGTTGTGAGATTCTGTGGTAATCATGCAAAAAGTCTGATACAAAGAAATGGTCAAATCGAAGTCTTTCGCACATGAATGAAGCAAAGCTATGAAAGCAGACGGCAAGCACACATGAGAGAATTTTATTTTGAATTCTTAGGCCACGACATATAATCGGCATACCCCCAGTGGACTCTCGTTCGCTGGCTGGCTTTTGTCGGAAACTCAAAAGTCAAAATTCGCGGTTGAAAGACACATAATTACATTACCAACCGCACGCGACATTGCTTAAGTTTAGGGCCACGAGATAGCGCAGCTGAACCTGCTCGCGGCGATACACAATAAATTCGTTGTAGAGTAAATGCTGATTGCCGCTTACTGGTTTGAGAGTTCCTGCTGGCACAAGCACACCATCAGGAAGCGTCTCAAACTCGTTTTCGGCTGGTGCCATGCGTCCAAGTCCATGTGTGCTGTCGCATCCTCGCTGGGTTTTAACCATTGTGTAGTCCAGAAACTCACCGTTTGGCGTCTTGTACGATTTTCCTAATGCGACGTCAGCAAGCAGAAGTATCGCCTATATGTAGTCAAATAATTTAACCAGTCATCTATAGCATATCGATGGATAAGTATAACCTTTGATGTCGCGCAGCAATAATTTGCTGATTTTGCCAAAGCATCAGCGAAGTACAACTACAAAGATAGTTTTGGTGTCATTAGACTCATTGAACAACTCTGTCAAGCAACGTACTCCTTTGCCGAATTGATATCCATTCTTTGGGGCTTCAGGTGGAGCTATGCGAAGACCTTGCGATAAAATGCCGACGAAATTTGACAAACGAGAACCGTGCCATAGCAACTGCAATAAATTGTCAGCATTCTCACAAATGCTCGAAAGATTCACATACCATATGATTATCAAGAGATTCGAGGATCTCTTTGTGAGAGTCTTCATCAGGCCGAGATATTTTGAGAACAGAATCGATGGTGAATTGGCTACCATTACCTGTATTCTGAATAAATCTATCAACAAAAATAGTTAAATTGCCAAGGTTTTCGAATACCAAGCATTTGCCGTACTTTTGAATGATCTTATACTCCTTTTGACTGTCACTCAAGGGCTCCATATGTGTGTTCAGCATCTTGTAGTGAATATCAAAAGGATGAATAGCAGGTTCACTTGGTTTCTCAGCCTCTTGTTTCTGTAGCATTTGTGAAATTTCCAAATTTGATAGAACTTCGAGCAGTTCCAATTTTGATTTTAGATCGTCCATTGAATCGATCACTGGAGGCAGGGAACGTCCAAAATCGTGTGGAATAAGCGAGTAGAACTCACTTGATAGTGTATTAAGACTAGCACGAAGCGATGACAGGCTTCTGCTGGTAGCTGCGGTTGGGCCTTTCGCTTTTGCCTTTGCCTTTCGTCGACTCTTAGCCCGAGCTTTTGTCGTCTTAGGTGTTGCTTTAGCGGTCGACAACTGCTCAATATCTTCAAGAGCAGCCGACAGACGCTGCAAAATTTCATAGCCCTGTGTAATCTGTGCTTTTGATAGCTTCCCTGCATGGACAAGGCAAGTCATGAAAGATATTTCAGTCGTTCAAGTATGCTGACTTTACCGAGTGGAAAACGCTTCAAATCCACATTCAGGCTCACCATTTCTCGTGTTACTACCTCTGGATCACAGATAAGCTGACATCATCAAATAATAGTCAATACCCAATAGATAGAAAAAAATCAATTCTTCGAATCTACCTTAACGATATTTTGTACTTCTTGAGGAAGTTTGGACGTCACAACATATTTCTCCTCCAACTTTGTATTAGCTGATGGTACACTCGCCTCGTTGTCGTCCAGTTCTAACACGAAATTGTTCCATTATGTCGTTCAAGAGAATGCTGAACGATGTAATCTGACTCACCAACTAGGTAATATTTGCCTTTCTTGCGAACAAAGGGCTGCATCACTGGCCAATTATTACCACTCTTGGACCGAAAAACCTTTTGAAATGCTCTTTCAGCGAGCTCTGCAGTTGCATAAAAATTCGCTTGTGACTGTGGACTCGCGACACCCACACGGCCCCATTTGCGGAAAACTATGTAGTTTCCGCGGTCAAAGATAAGTTGTCCTAGATAATATTTGTTGTTGCTTGCAGCAGAGAAAAAATCGTCCGTCAGACTTTGATAAAACGACTGCACTGCTTGACATACATACCCGTAAGTGCCGTAAGAGATATCGGTCAAATTTAGCATGAAGGTCCAGCGCACACCGTCTGCGTCCTGTCACAGTGAAGAAGTGAGTAATCGGATGAAGAAACGATACCTGATGCTGTGTACACGATAAATCTTAGCATCAGTGGTGCAGTGACTCAGGGGATCGACAATTGTGGCAGTTGATGTCATGACTGCTGATTGAAAAGTGACTAAAAATCGTTGAATGTAAAGCGACTTGAAAGAAGAATCACGCACGTAAACGAACTCAACTGACTGAAATTTTTTTTGAAAATCTTCGCCATCAACGTGAAGAATTGTTAAAGTAGTTAAACCAGTTTGATCTTTCATCGCTTGCATACATAGAGACAGAATGTTTTTCAGCTTTAATAAGATTTGTTTGCTCTTAAAAAAATCTGATTAAAGCTCTTGTCTCTTAACTGAAGTGAGACTTTGAGACTATCGGCTGAATTTTCTATTGCCCTTCGAGTAGTAAATAATATTTCAGCTCAACGCTTTAACTCAGGCAGGCCGGTAATCATTTAGTTGTGACCCATTCGACAAACTAATGAGTGACGAGAACATAAGTGCGTCAGAGATTTGAAGCTGCATATTCCGTACTGATAAAGCAAGAGGTTTTGCACTTAGACTTTGAAAATAT